TAGGGTGATTAGTCGTCGGTATTTTGGCGCCATCGACGAAGACGTCCAGTTCTAGCCCTTCCTCCTTGGTCCAGGTGGATTTTGCGGCGGAGATTTGGAGGCTTCTTGCAGTGAAGAAGTTGGAAAGATCGGACTATCTCGGTTATTTCATCGCAAAGTCTTCGTCGTTTGGTTTGGTTCTGCACTTCACAGATGCTTTTTCGTAATTAAGAAAAACCAAAAACAGAAAAAAATAAAAATGATGCCGCTGACCGCATTCGTACTCGAACCTGGCTGAAGAAAACAAATAACAGCAAGCACCTCTACACGTTCAGCTACAGCCAGACATACGAATTTGTTTTCAAATGTTCAACTTGAATCACATTTCTTACAATCAATCGGTAATCTTACCATGAAAAATCCAAACAATAACTTGGTTGAAAAAACCATTGTACTTTTGACTCAGTGTATGAACCTACTGTAGTATATAATTATAGTATAAGTATTGGGCGGGTCAATTTTTTTCGACATCGTTCCTAGCAGATTCGGAATCTACTTACATACAATCCTAAGAATAAGAGTCCTTTAGACCATAGCTCTAAAATCCATTTCGAGCCTGCGCAATTTTAAAAGAAAATATCTCTAATTAATACTAAGCCAATAATAATAATAAGTAAATATTAACTAAAGAATAGAACTGGTGCTCCGGAGTTTTGTGATATGAAAAATTCATTTCTGATATCTATTTTTTATTTAAAGAACCACAAGATGGCGCTTCAAAGCAAATCTACTATATATTTGTGGAAGTATGTATGTATGTATGTGCCAAGTTGTAGCCTAAACGGTTGGACAGAATCGAATAAAATTTTGCCAGAGTATTACCATGACTCCTGGACTAATAGGATAAAAAAATTGGGACTCGCCAGGGGGGGCCTCGATGGGTGGCACCTCCCACAGTGAAAATTTTTAATCAGCTCTAACTTCGGAATTATAGTCACATGAACTCGAAATTTGAAATGCACAGATACCTATGTTAGGTGCTTATGGAAAGATATATGTATATAAATGAGTTTGTAAAAAGGGGCGTGACACATCTTCTAATCTTTAATACATATATACTAAGTTAATATACGGAATATTTACTAAAGTGTTACGAACGTTATTTTTTTAATACAATAAGAAAAAAATAACTATAATTTAAAGGAGTGACTCACAATGGCTAGAGTCGTCGCATGAGTGTATTCTTTCATATACATATATATGGGCCGTTCTTAGAGTTATACATTTTTCATCCACTCGCTTATTCCTAACCTAAAATTTTAAATAAAAAATTTGGCAAGTTTTAACCGCTCATACAGTACAGGTAGCAGTTTAAAATGGGTAACAGGGTAAACTTAATAAAGAAAACATATTCTCTGGTTAAATTAATAAGCCTGCCCGGATAACACAAAATCCTAAGCTTGATAAACATTTGGTGTTATTAAAGTTTTATAAAGCTCTACTTGTAATTGGGAGAAATGCCGAAAAAAACATTGGCTGAATTTCTTTGTTCATTCTGAACGTTTGGAATAGACTTTTTTGTTTATTTATTCTTAAGAACGTTCCTGGTGATATGTTGACGTATATCTCAAAAGCATTCTGTTTATTCCGGCTGTAAAATGGGATTATCCGGAATGTATAAAGAAACGCAGCCATTATAAAATTGATTGATTGATGGATAAAAATAGAGAGGGAGTTATGGCTATGACAATAGAATGTAGAAAAATGATACCTCGAGTTGAAAGCAAACAGGATCTAAAACCAAAAAAACTATAAATACATTGTTAATCATAAAAAAATTTATGATTCGAAAAATAATTTTGAAGTATTGTAAAATTTTATATTTTTTTTTGGTTTTTTTAAGATAAAGTTTTATTTACTTACAGTAAGGAACAAAAGTATTGGCACAGTGAATTTTTAGCAAATAGGCAAAGTTTCTAATTTATTTCCGATAATTTTTTATAAAAACATAGTTCATACTACACCAAAACACATAAAAATGAAATGTGTAAATTTTGTGAAAAACTCAGGAAAATTCAATAAATTTGCATACTAATTTGCAACNATTATTTTGCCTCTCCAGTAAAATAAAAAATTTGTTGGTTAGGGCCTTTGTGAATTTAGGTGACGATATGTATATGTGAGGCAAAATTCATCAAGTGTACCATGAAAAAATTTTATGTCAGCATTTTGATCAAACTCCACCACGTTATTGCTATAGTCACTGCTAACCAATTTTTTTCTACCGCCAATTTTGTCGAGTTATACGAGCTTAAACATGCAAATGCCGGTAAGCCTTTCATTTTTGTCGACAATAAAACAATGGGTCGAGTACGAATAGCAACGTAACACGGTTCGGTTGCCAGCTGGCAACGCAAGTGGAAAGAAAATTTGTATTACGAATGGCAACTATCGTCAGTTGCTGTAGAGTTATCGATAATCGAAATTTGACAGTTCGACAACCAGCAAGCGGCTGTAAACAAGCCGTGCGGGTAAAATTAAATTATTAAAATAAAGAGTTTTAAAGAAAATACAGCNTATTTTTTAGAAAATTTCCTAGTATGCAGTTTAATAATCCATTAAATTTTAGTTTATCAAAGTGCAAAAAAAATTGGGAATAAATTAAAAAGTTTGCATATATGTATTGCGAAAATTCACTGTGCCNCCGTGCACTGTAAGCAAAAGTTAACGCTTTCAAGGTTTTTCTTTTATTATCGTTTTGTGTTCACATTCAAAGCATATTGAGGACTTCCATAAGAAGCTGTAGTATAATTGGTTAATAAACAATGAACCACTTCATTCAACTTCAATACCTCCGCTCATAAAAGCTTGGGCACTTCTTCGATTTTTCGCAGAAGGAAGTGCAACAGCCATGACTTTAATTTGGAAAACTTGGTGTGTCGGTAGTTTTAAAAGAGGATAAAGGAAAAAATTTGCAATCAGTGTTCGCTTTTGTTTCGCCAAAAGGNTCGCTTTGTAGTGTAATCTTGCGGATCTTTAAATACAAAATAGATATCAGAAATGAATTCTCGTATCAATAAACTCCCAAGCACAGGTTTGCATTAAAAAACAAACATCCGTAACACTTTATTAAATATTATATATTTTATAAATTCGTCGGAATATTTGTTTTTTTATGTATGTTACCGCATAACTTTGGACTACGTTACCCGTTTTNGACCAAAATTTCAAGTTATAGTTTTGTTATATTCACCATATTCTGTAAAAACAAACTGCATTGCAAAATGTTAATATCGTTCAAATTATTAAAAAGTAAAATATATGACACACATTTCAATTTTTGCTCCTAAATATGCCCCAAAAACATTCCCAGCAACCACAAAAATGTAGTCACGCCTGTCTACACACTTTGTAGTAACTGCAGTTGTCAGTTGAAAGTTGCTAGTTGCCATCTGTAATATCGTTTTGGCAACTAGCAACGCAACTGAAGTTTGCTGAATCCGAATACGAAATCAAAAAGTAAGAGAGTATAACAGTTTTTGAGATATAGCTGCATTTCGGGGTTTTCAGATATGAATTACAATTTTCTTTGGATATAGTTAGCTATTTTTATGAAATTTTATTAAGAATTTTCCGCTAAATCGGAATACAAGAAAGTATAACAGTTATTGAGATAAAGCCGAATTTCGGCTATTTGGGATCTGAAAAAAGTGCACTCACTTAATTGCACAAACAACAAGTAAAGAAGTATAAGTTCCGCCGAAACCGAATTTTATATACCCGGCGCAGGTTTCAACTATCGTCGTCCCAACTTTCTTTAAACTACCTAAAAGTCTATAACAGTATTAATTATTGTTAACAGCTTGTTATAAGTATTAACTTGGAGAAAAGGAACGTCCTCAGTTATTGAAATATCGGAGTTTTCGTGTATCCGAAAATTACCGTTATGCGGGAAGCTGGTGCAATTGTAGCCCGATTTGAATAATTTTCAACGAATTGCTTTTTCGTACCAAGGTTATAAAATGCACCAAGTTTGGTAGAAATTGATAAATCGGTTACCGAGATACACATTTTTGGTCATAAGTGGGCGGAGCCACGTCCAAAATCCAAAAATTTATAATAATCCAATTTTATACTCAGTGGTTATTGCAATAATCGATTTTGAGTCAATTAGCTTGAGTAGTTACTGATTTATCGCAGTTTTCGTGTTTCTGTAAATTACCGTTATATGGGAGGTGGGCGTGGCTATTGCCCGATTTCAAAGATTTTCACCCAATTTCTTAGCTGTATTCCAATCAAGGTTATTACCGAGTTTGGTACGGATTGGTGAAGCGGCTACTAAGATACAGTATTTCATCATAAGTGGGCGGGGTCACGCCCCTTTTCCAAAAATTGCATAATAATAATATTTTGCACAAAAATTCTACTTCACATACTGTTTTTGAACAATTTGTATCCAATATTTACTGCAATATCATCGTTTTTGCATTTTTCCCAAATACTGTTATATGAGGAGGGGGCGTGGTTACAGTCCGATTTCGCCCATTTTCAATAGCAACCTACCTTGGATAAGGGGCAATCTATATACCAAATTTCGTTGAGCGCATTGTTTAAAATACGCAATCAATTTTTTTATTGCAAATTTTTGGCAAAAAAAAAGATTTTCAAAAAATTATAGTTTTCACCAAAAAGCTCGGAAAAAGTTCTAATAGGTCGGCAATTTTCGATTCTCTGTCATAAGTGCAACATGAGATAAAAGTTTTAAGAAACCTTTCGTATTAGATGCAAATAAAAAGGATTGGCTTTGTTTTGTTTTCGTAATATTGCAGCAAAAAGAGTTAAAAGCACAATGCACGTAAGCTAAAGCATCTACTAGTTTTTTGGTTTAATATTGTGGAGTGGTCACGTTTCAAGTAATGATTATATTGAGCTCATAAGCGGTTTATTTTAATAAAATATTTGAGAAATAAAAACAAGCTTAATTGGTATGAATTATACGTAGCTGCTACTTCGGAGATTACCAAATCCAATATATATAAGACAAGCCTCCAGTTCCTAACCACATAGCGCTCAAACAGTTTTCAATGCATCCATACAGCCTGAAGGTACACTGAAAAAAAATCAACCAAAAATAGGTTAATATTACCAAATTCAAACTTGAAAAGGAATCAATGTAAGTTTTGTTTAATATTAACAATGCTATGGTTGATATTTTCAACAATGATTTGGTAATATTAACCACATTACATTAAACAAATTTTTTGGCTGCCGATTTTTTTGTTTGAAATTTTCTGCTCTTCATAATTCGAAGATACAAAACCAAAATTTTTTATTATCATTATTAACATGTTGCCTCTGACGGCATTTGAACCCGGACCTTCAGAAAGTTTGCAAATAACAGCAAGCAACTCAACACATTCAGCAAATTTTGTAAATTTGCCCTCAAATGTTGAACTTGAATAAATTTTCTTCGTCGTTTGATCGTGTTCTGCACTTAACAGATGCTTTTCGTAATAAAGATGAACAAAAAACAAAAAATTATGTATTGCCTCTGTCGGCAACCGAACCCGAACCTGCTGGAAACCCACAAATAACAGCAAGTATCTCTACAGGTTTAGCTGCAGCCAGACATACAAATACGCTTTCAAATATTCAAATACAATCACATTTCTTTCAATCGGTGCATTTACTATGAAAAAAGCAAACAATAACTCGGTTGAAAAAAACATTGTTCTTTTGGCTCAGTGTATGCGTTTAAAAGTTATAATCCAACTATCGCGTTTCCTTTTACGCGATATCATGTGCACTTGATTAATTAGGAGTTTCGTATCGAAATATGAATTTTCATATGGAACATTTCTGTTTCGGGTAATTTTTGCTGTTTTTTTTTAAGTGCCATTCAAATTTGAATCATCTGTTTCATACATTGAACGCAAACAAGTGTAAGGTACAAGAAAAATAGTTGCGTTCCCCAACTCGCCAAAAGTTACACATAATATACCAGGAAGCGTTCCAGTACTCGGTTATCTGGCAAATGGCATAACAAATAATAAAGTAAGTGTCAGAAGTTTCAAAATTTTGCCCGAAGAGTGTTTGCAAAGTGTTACGCACATGCGCATTTTTCTTTTACTAAGTACCTACTGCATTTATACGGAAATTAATTTTTTTGCTACTAAAATTGTTTGATGCACAGAAGTAGTATAGGTACGTTTATCAGACGTTGATACAAAACGATATAAGCTAACATCGAATTGTTCAGGGAAACACGTTATAAAAACGCATATACATTCTTGTGAAAAACTAGGGTCACGATATTTTGACCAGTTTTGACTATTTTTCTTTCGTTTTTCAATGTTTATAAGTTTTTTTTGTCAAAGTCTTGTTAGTTCTGGGATATTCCATTGTGACAAGTGGGGCATTTTACTCCAGAATGTGATCAATTGTGAATTATAAATATTTTTTTCATAGACCGATAACTTATGTATAAAATTCCTTTCAAAAAAATAGCAAACGATTTTTTAGTTCTATGCTACTATCATTTGAATGAATGTGACTGGTGGGACACTGAAAAGAACTCTATTTTACCTTTGTGCACTTAAAGACGAATTATAGCAAAAACAACTAATTTTTAAGGCAGATTTTTTTGTACCCCGTACCCTATATGCTTTCGTTTTCATAAAAAATTTGGCTAAAATAGGCTTCATAGACATTTTAAGAAATATTTAAATTTGTGACTGGTTAGACAAGTCCTTGTAACTGGTGTAAAGTAATTACATACATACGTGAAGTAAACGTTTCCATAGACAAAAGTTATAGCTTATTTTTATTTTTTAATATTTTTCAACAGGTTAATGCAGTCATTTATCAAGAGTTACTACTGAGATAGAGACAACTAAGACATTTTAAAATCTATGTCGTGTTCCTCTTTTACATGGAATGACCCTTATATACCACTTGACACTATATACATACATCCTCATTTCAAACTTTGTAGAGAAATTTAAAAAAATTAACAACAAACTTTTTATTAATAATTTTTAGAAAAATTCCAGTACGCAGTTTTGTAGTACATCAAGTTCTAGTAATAAGGTGCAAGTTTCAGGAGGCTAAGAGTTCGAACTGATTTTTGATAATTTTTTTGCCGACGGTGATTTTCGATTGCCACATGAATTGCATTTATACAAAAAATTTAATTTGTGTGGCATATTTAGAGGAATTTTATTAAAAATAAGTGAAAAAATGATATGGCAGCATAATTTTCTTACGACTCTCTTTGCACTTAGAAACTTAACTCAGAAATCAAAAATCTATAGTTCTCCAAGTTTCTAAGCGAAGTTGTTTTTGGGTAAACACATACACGCGCTGCTCATTTGCTAGACACACGATTTTCAAGGCAAGTCAAATCTAAGACTTGCATAACCGAGTCTTAAAACAAATTGTCGAACATAGTAACGGTGCATAATTTGGGCGATTTAGGGGAAGAAATATCATAGCGCGCACAATTTAGACTTTAGAATATTTTTTGCGTTATATACTTCTAATAAACTGTATAATTAAAGTTTCAAAGGAAGAACGTGATTTCATATAATATATGATATAGGCATTTTCAGAGTCTCCCGCATTTTATTTCATAAGAAATTCACGCTTATATGGAAAAAAGTTCAATAACCCGTCACCAAAAAAAATCTCAAAAAGCAACGGGATTGTTTAGACGTTTGAAACTTGCACTTCATTAGACTAAAATTTAATGGCTAAATGACTGAATACTTGACAATTTTCTAGAGATTCTGAATAAAAAGTTGAAATTTTTTTGAATTTTTGTTAACTTTATATAAGGATTGAAGCTTTGACTTGATTTATATGGTTTATATTACAGAATGAACTATAATTTTATAAATAATTAATGCAAACAATTTTTCATGAAGTGTGCATATTTTGTACGAAATATACCTACAAAAAATTAACCCGATAGATGGCGCTTTAGTCGAAATATTGAATGATATAATTTGATTTCAAATTTCCTCGCACCATATTTTCCGGCAGTTTCCAACTTTTGCATTAATATACTGTTTTAAAAGATCTACACAAAAATCAAACCAAAAATTACATCCAATTTAAATTATTATTTGTGTTTCTCCACCATGTCTATACCGGCTATGGGCGATATCAATAATGCATGGCCGTTTCATAGGAGGAAACATCTGCCTCAATTTATTTAGCTGAATTAGTTATAAGCTTTCAAACTTTTTACAGAATTTAGAAAAATTCAACAAATTTTGATAAAATTTTTTAGCTTTTTAATCTGATTTTCTAAAAAATTTTGGGTATGCAGTTACATGGCTTATGAAATTCTAATAAACCAATATAAGTTTTAAGTGGCTAAAAAGTCGCGTTGATTTTTAATAATTTTTTTGGCGGGAGGCTTTTGCGGTCTTTTATATAACAAGTGCAATTTATAAAAACTAGCGTTGATTTTTTAATTAATTTTGCAAATGGTCTTGCGCATTTTATTCTACGAAAAATTTACGTTTATATGGTAAAAAGTGCAAAAAGCCGTAAACAAAAAAAAATAATAATAATAATATAAGATGAAAGCTTTTCAAAAAATTGAATGTTTAAAAAAACTTAACATAGTTGTCACCAATTTTTATCGAACAATACGTTTTTAACATCTGTATAGTTATTTCACAAAGGTATTTTTATGTTACCACACAATATCTCTTTTAATACGTTATCAAATTCAATGATATATAGTATAATATAGTTATTTCTCAAAGGTATTTTTGTGTTACCACACAAGATCTCTTTTAATATGTTATCAAATTCAATGATTGAATAGTCACATTGTTCAAGTTTAATTATTTTAGGAAAAAAGTGTTTTCAATGTGCAAAAAGCACTACATATAAAAAGATTATTGGTTAGGGATTAATAACTAAAATTAAAAATAAGGAGGCTCGAAATTCATTTTAGTATACGTCAGTCGCCGAAAAAAAATAAAGAAAATATTATATATTTAGTTAAAATTCTTTGGGTGACTAAAACTCGCATAGTTTGCGTTGACCCAGATAGCACAATCGGAGGTCTTGCAGCTTCTTAATCGTGCAGCCTTGTTATTTTGCAATAACTAAAATGTGCGTTCATAGACGCAGAAATTATTATTATTAGATTTACAGAGCTCTTAAAGATTACGATGGAATGGCTTTTTGTTCTCAGATACTAATGAATATGTACATACATATGTTAGTATTTTTCTATACATATGGCAGATTTTCGCTAAATAATGCTTTTTGTTAAAGCATGTATTTGATCCAACAGATTTCGCGGGAAATATTTTTCAAATTCAGAGCAAATGTACTTAATTATGTATAGAAAGATTGTTTGCTAAATTGATATATTTGATAACGAGATACATGCATGCACATTTATACAGGTACATACCATATGTGGACATACATATATCGTCGTTTAAAGTACAAAACCGCGTATCGTCATTCTGCAAAACCGCGTAACTGACATTTGCTGCCAAAAATTGGATTTGCTCATACAAGCTCTTGGCTCAATTCTTATCCATTCGTCCTCAAATATACTAGCCAGAAATGCGATTGCTATATAGAAAAGAGAACCATTTTGAAATATGAGTGTTTTTACTCCCTAGAAAATAATTTATGCAACCTCACGCGGTTTTGCATTTTGTTGATACGCGGTTTTGTACTTTAAACGATGATATACATAAATATGTACATTTCTATAACTTCCCACATATATATATGTAGTATGATAGTATGTACGTAAATATACATATGTAAGTAGCGCAAAAAGTTTCCTTAACGCCACTGGATATTTCGATAAACGACCTGCTGCCATATTTATGTTAAAGTACAATTGAACACTTTGAGGGCGGTGAGTACAAAAAATCAAGTTGAAATATCTGCATAAATCAAAAATAAATGGCATACCCATTTGTTAATCCAATTCTCATCTACGTGCATTCTTGAATTTGTAGGCACAACCTTTTTTAATTAAATAATGTGGCACACTGGAATAAAAATCAATCGTTATCTATGAGACACCATTACGCATGAACTTGAATAGTTGCAAACACTTCAATAACACTCACATATTCGTACCATAGAAAAAATCAAAGGATTAGGTAAATTGGTAAACTATATGTACATATATGTATGTACTCAGGTACATTTAAACTCACAAAAGTAAACACTTACGTATCGCAACATATTTAAACTATATCTTTATCGTTTTATGTTACGAATACTATTCCACTTTTTATGCGAAGCGGTTTTCAATTTGAATATCAGTTTTCACAAGGTTAAATTTAATGATGAAGTATTTGCAATTACTCGATTGATTTTTCCCTTTAAGTGTTTTCTTGCTATGTAACTTTGCACCGACCAAATGGGGAAAATCGAACAAAGTTCATCAATTAGTTGTAATTTTGTTTCATGCAAGCACAATTCGAGTAACAGTTGAACGTTTTTACGCACTTTTAAGAGTTTATTTTAATATTCTTCATCTTTTAAATTAACACTTCTTATGGAAAAATGTGGATAAGTCTGTTGTAGGACAATTGCAAAACGGGAATTGAATGCTCTAACGAATGCGCATGTTTACAACTTGGCACCGTCCGGGGTTGGTTAAAGTACAACAGGACTCGGTGTAAAAGCTTAATTTGGTGGTGTAAGCTTAGGGTCACATGATAGCTTTATCGGGGTATATCAATGTATGAATTTATTTCTGCAAGTTCACATTTTGATTTTTAAAATTGAAAGCTTTTGCTGACAAAAATATATAAAATGCGTTACATCTTAAATACGTATGTACATACATATGTACATTAGAGTGGCCACAAACAGTAAAGTCGGATTTTCAATGCCGACACCCCCTAAAATTGTTCTATACTGAAAAATATACCCCTATTTTTATTTTGAAATCAAAAAACATTTAGGAAGTACTCAAAGCGCTCAAGTTTTCCATGTATTTTATTTGGGGAAAAAACAACTTTTCGTAGGAATGTACTATGGTCTGGAAATAATTTTTTTGTCATAAATTATTTGAAGCGAGATATGTCACTTATGTTTTGTGTTTAGGCTTATTATGCCACATAAATAGAAGAAATAGAAAGAAAAGAAAAATTTTATGCATAGCACGCCCACTCCACTCACACAAATACAAATAGTGATATTATTCAGCTACCAGTAAAGCCAGAAAAGCTAAATTTGGTATAAGGGGCCAAGGCATAAAGGTAAATACGACCTATTTAAAATTTTGGAAAAGGGGCGTGGCCCGCTCACTGACAAGAAACATTCGTATTTCTCACAAACCACTTGACCGATCTTAACAAAACTTAATACATATAGTGTTTTGTAGACAAAAGTTTAAAAAGGCAATATGATTAATTAAGTTAATTCCTCAAAGTATGAGTATACGTTTTTTAGTAAAACAATAATAATTTCATAGTATTAATTGTACATCTGAAATGAGAGTGAAGTAATAAAATTAGTAAATTGACCTTAATATAATATAAACAAATAAAAAAGTCTAAATTCAGGCGAAGTCGAGCATTAAGTACCCGGCGAAAGTATTAAATATAGTGTTTTCACCTTTCCTAAAACTACCGTTACATGGTAAGCAGTGGTTTTATTTATTTATTTCACACATCTTCGCTAGTATATTCAGTTAGACTTAATGAGATAAACTTATATAGTTATAAATGGGGTTGCTAAAAATGACAAATATTCTTAAATGGGGCAAAAAGGGGCCAAGCCCACACATGATTCTAAAGAGCAGACTCTCAACTTTCACCTAACATAAAAATCTTGAACAATACGGGACAATACATACAACTTTTACTCCACAAAACACAGGCAAATACCAAATTTTTACGTTAAAAAAGTTATTACACGAAACACCGCGCCATACAGGTACAAACAGTTCCTTTCTTAGAATATTTTACTCAGCTGTTCACAAGTTTGTTGTTGCTTCAGAGGCATCATTTTTGATAGCTCATAAATAGAAAAGGGTTGCCATATCAAGTTTATTTTTTGGATATTTTGGACCACTGAAATGTCTCCATTAATACTGCGTATCTAATTTTTTAAAATTAGTTAATAATAATAGTTAATAATAATGGTATGGAATTCTTGAAAATCAATATTTTCGATCGGAAAACTCTGGTGCTCTTCAGGAGACTTCCAATAACAATAGCCAATTGTTTATTTAACCATTATTTAATACTAACGATTTTTTATTTATTTATTATTTTATTTATCCTGCATTTTCTGGGGGTTTTAGCGGACCTAGAAAATATAGTTACCAAGAAAAAATGGTTAGAGAAACAATTGGGTATTGTTATTGGAAGTCTCCTGAAGAGAACCAGAGTTAAATAAACAATTGGGTATTCTTATTGGAAGTCTCCTGAAGAGAACCAGATTTTTCCGATCGAAAAATATTGTGATTGTTCACGCTTGCCTGGTTATCAGGTTATCTGCTTAAAAATAATTTTTGTGTAGTGTATTTTATTGTTGTACAGCAACAAAATACACTACAGAAAAATTATATTTAACCAGATAAACTGCTCATCAGGCAAGCGTGAACAACCACATTGATTTTCAAGAATTCCATACCATTCCACTATGGTCTGGAACTAATTTTTTTGGCATTATTACTGGAAATCTCCTGTAGAGAAACAGAGTTTTCCGATCGAAAAATATTGGTTTTCAAGAATTCTACACCATTTCTACGAAAAGCTGATTTTTTTCCGCATAAAATACATGGACAACTTTGAGCGTTTTGGGCACACCCTAATTTTTTTTTAATTCAAAATAAAAAATAAGGGTATATTTTTCGGTATATATTTCTAGGGTGTGGCGGCATTAAAATTCCGACTTTACTTCTTCACGTGCATTTTTGGACCACTCAGAAAAAAAATATTGTAGTAGAGCTAAATACGGTTCGCTGTTGACGATTTTGTTGAAACAAATTAAACATTTTTAGCTGAAAAAAAAATTAATATGCAACAAGAATCTTGCCAATCTTTGTTATCAAGGCAACAGTTTACAAACTTTTTGCGTCTGGCAACAGCAAAGTAATTAATCCCAGAAGCAGTGTTGCCACTTTGTAAGTAATTCCCCAAAACGTGAGGAAATTCGGGTGCGCTTGAGTATTTTTTGAGGATTTTTATTTCGAGGAATTTTCTCTCTTTATTTTCACTTTTTAACCGACTTCACAAACAGGAGGAAGGTTATCAATTCGTCGGAATATTTGTTTTTGTTTTTTTGTTTTATGTATGTTACCGCATAACTTTGGACCACGTTAACCGATTTCTATAATTCTTTTTTTAAAGGAAAGGTGTTACCTCACAGGTGGTCCGATTCTAATTTGGTTTAAATCCGATCATTGGAATATGAAGAGATTAACGATAATCTTAAATTTTTATATGAGAATTGAAGTCGGTTGTGTTTTTTGCTTAAAAATTACTTGTGTTTCAACATATTTTGGTTAAAAGAAAAATACTGATAAAAATAAAATATTTCGCACAAACAACAAAAAGTATAATCGATAATCGCATGAGACTATTGCCTAAAAATTTTAAAATGCACTTAGTGGCATTGTGCTTCTATGATAGCACGGCCGAGTAATCATAGTCAACTTATGTACAGTAGTCGAAAAAATTATAGCCGCACCAAATTTTCACAAATTTTAAAATATTATTTTTGGTTAGTTTTTTATAGTTCATTCTTTTACAACATCCGTATAAATACAAGTTTAAAGGCAGTGTCACACAATTGAGTATTTGCCAAATTTTGGTGCAAATCGTATCCCAATTGTGCGAATACCCAATAATTTTTCTTTATCCCAATCACGAAAATTAATTTGTTGAAATTTTTCAATAGAACATTGTTGTATTGTACCAATCTTTTGACTACAAAAAAAATGTTTCCAATTGCTATAAAACACTTCATTTTCACTTGAGGTTTCAGTATTCCCAAATTCTGCACCGATATTATTTATATTCAGAATGCAAATGCTGCTTTGTGGCACATTTACCAGAAATCGCTGGTAACTTCCTGAAAAGAATACGAATGTTTTTGAAAACTCTATTCACTTTGAGTAAAAAATTTCGAAATTTCAATCCGTAAATTCTCTCAAGGATTTGCCTTTTTGCGAAGGCTGCTCATCAATGGTCGTTGCGAATCGGCGCAAGTGCCTTTGTAACATAGCTATGGCTACGCTACAGGAGTTGAAATGTAATCCAAATTGAGGCTGCTATTTTTTTTGCTATCACATACAGTATATTTTGCCTAGCTGCACATCCTTCTTTGCACGAAAAACTTGTGCACCTAACCGAAAAAGGCACTTACGCGAATTTTCTTTACTACTTAAATGAGGAAGTTATCCGAATCCCTATGAAACCAAATAATGGAAAAACACTTATTACGTAGAAAATAATGCAAGCGAAATTTTTTTCGAATAGTTTCTTATTATTTTTATAACTACATAAATTGATAGCCATTTTCTTTGTTCTGCGATATGAGAAAAACAAATAAAAGCTTGTAAAATTAGGTAATTGTAGGGCCAGTGCAGGTAAACGTAATACTTTCTTTGATAATTGATACTAGTTGCATAATTTTTAAGGCAGGTATCGCCAATGTGCATGTATGTTGAATGCATCTATCAGAGCAGTTTCCTTATAAATTTTAAAAATAATGTCTCAGATGCGCATTTTGGGGTAGGTATCTTAAATGTGCACTTAAGCATAAAGGCAGCAAAGCAAAATATACTGTACTTCCATTTTCACTATTTATCACCACTAAAATTGACTATTTATCACCAAAAAATTTGGGCTAAACTATTTTTAGCGAAAAAGAGGACAGAACCGCAATTTTTGGAGATAGCTAAAAATTCGGAAAAATTTTAGCTTTCGTAGTTTAGCATTTTAGCAATAGTGAAAGTTAGAATCCGGCTGCTAGTCGACGCAGCTGGCTTTTCAATTTCGAAAAGAACTTCATCAGCAAGAAACGCTATGTTTAAAGATCTAAATATTTTAGCATCCTTTCCAAATTGCTTTCCATAATTTTCGTCTTTCTTTGATAAATAATTGCAAAAAAGACGCGTTTTTTCTTCTAAGAGTTTCATAGAACTTGCGCAAATATCAGCAGCACCAAATTTTTTTTCAACATGGTTGACAACCGAAGAAAGGTTTTCTTTTTTTCGAACATTCAATCAGCCAAACTTAAAACAACTCGTCTTTTGTAATAGCATGATAGCCCAGAAAAAAACAGTTTTTCTTGAAAACACATCTTAATTTATCCATTACCTTTTCCATTTCGTTTTCCGAAAGTTAACAAAATTGTAAAAGCTTACATAAAATCATAAATGGAAATAAATCAGAAAATTTTTGGGGTTATTCAAATAAGACAGTTTTTTTGCAAACAAATGGTAAAAAGTCACTTTTTAAAATTGCGACATAGGTTCTCACTTATAGTTTGGTTTCCCATTTAAAATTTTCCTTTAATTATTCGAACTTTACAAAAAAAATGCACTTGAGACTTACAAAATAAACCGGTTGCGCAAACAACGTGTCAATAACG